GAAAGAGGGAGAGAGCACGAAAGAGGGAGAGAGCACGAAAGAGGGAGGGGGAGAGCGAGAGAGAGCACAAGAGCGCATGTGTAAGTGTGAGACAAAGAGAAATTTCCAGAGGCTAATGGGAATTTATTTACATTGTGAGGTTTTTACAAGAAAACAAAGTAAACAATTCTGCATTAAGTTTTTAATTAGAAGGTCATGGTTTTTTTTTCCTTTTGATCAGGGAAACAACTATTTCATGGAATAGAACAGTTTTTGGTCTCACTGTGGCATTTAGCAGATGTCTTGACTGAAGCTAGGTGTATAAGATAATTGCTCTTAAAAAAGGAATGTAGCTTAGGACTGTTAAAGATTTAACTCAGTGTGAAAAGTTTACTTTAAAAGTTCCAGACCAGAAGCATTTGGTTAAAATCCTTTGGGGTTATGCAAAGCCGAGAAAGTCTAAGCTCAGTTATATAATAAATCAAGGAAGCGGACATCACAATCAAGGAACCAAAGCCATAGTTAAGTCAACCCCTATGGAGGATAGAAAAGGGAATTCTCTATTTTCAGTGCAGCAATGGGATGCTGTTGGAGTTAATGGGTTTGTATTTTTATCACTTATTTCAAAATCTTTAACCAGATATTTGTAAAAACATTGGTTCATTCTATTTTACCTTCATTTCTTTTGCACAGTTTTTTAAAATTGTTAAGGTCAATTATGCACATTGTGTGTGTGTGGTTCAGTGATTTGCCACTTCATTAAAATTAAAAATAAAACAATATTTGATCTATCAAGCCAGATCTCAGTTTGGGATCTGACTTGTGCAGTAATACCATCAGTTGGGATCATAGCAAACAAGACATTATATATTCTGTTATTTGTACTGTTGTTTTCTCTTTACACATTTATATAAATCATCCATTGAAATATCCTTGAAGCATGAAAACACTTTGGACATTTGAATCAGTTTGATGGATTGATGGTGAAAATCTAAAATAAAAATTTGCTTTCTTTACTGAATTATTCTGAAAGCTGTCCAAATAAAGATAAGACTAAACAACTACATTCTCATGCAACAGCCGATGAAAGCTGTTGAGACAGTCTAGAAATAGCCAAAAAGGACAAGCCTCTGTGACCTCCTGTCCTGCTGGCTTTGATCTGACAAAGAGAGGTGGAGCGACTGTGCAGCTCCATTGTCTCAACTGTCAGATCAGAGAAAACACTTTAAGGCTCATCATTAAGGTTTATGGGGCTGCAATTGAACAGGATTAAAAGCAAAATCTATTGAGATCCTTTTAGACTGAGAATAACATTAAATAACTATTAGAGGCTTGGCTCAATAATACTTTACTCTGGCTCTTGCTGGGGCATTCACAATTCCAAGAATGCATATGTTCTTTCCCAGCTGTGCTACTTAATTATTGAAGGTTACCTATAAGCTACATGTTGAAATTATCATCAAGCTTTAATGCTCTGACTTTTTAAGAACATACAATAATGAATTGTCAATACATTGAAACAGCTTGTAAACATGTTTAGAGTTTTAGAAAATAGTTTCCTTAAAACATAAACACTGGTTTCAACCTCCCTCCCTGGCAAGGGTATATACATATGTTGTGCCCAACTGTGAAAATACACTGGAAGAAATTCTTCCAAGAACCAGCCAGACATTAAATATGATGGCTGAATGATAGGCATGAGAAAAGATCTTCCCAAATCAAAGATAATTATCTTGAAAAGCATGACTGACAGAGAAACTTTGTCAGATATCGGCCTCTGACGCTTATAAATAGATGTTTCTTATATGATTGGAGGAGAACCTTGTGACAAACACATGCACTTATCTATTGCTGTCAGTATGGTGGTTCCAACAGACATCAGACTTGCCATAAGCACTAGTTTGGGGAAGGGGTTGGGGGTGAGTGGTAGTGGTGGGGTGGTGCTGGTGGAGGTATCAAGATGGTTTAAAAAGTAAAAGCGTTAGAATACATTCTCTCAAACTGAAGCTCAGTTTTTTATTATTTAGCTAAAATGGTCATAAAATAAGAAATGGATATGTCATTCCTGGTAATCCCAACACTTAGTCTACAGCCTATATTTGTATTCAGTAATTTTACAATGTGAAAATTACACACTAGTACACAGTATGTTCCATCAGATATTCTTTTAAAGATACTTACCATCTGTTTGTAAATCTGTCTGCAAAGTACAAATTACAATGCCATGGAGAAGATCTTTTTCTAGTACTACTAGTTATTCCATTCCAGTTTATATTATGATCTGAATGAATCAACAATAGAGAATAGCTTAATAGGATCTCAGAAACAGTACATCACTGACATATGCAGATAGTTTGGAAGACATTCTTAATTCTCAAACAATGACAGATGAGGGGAAGGATCAAATAGCAGTCATCAGTTTAAATGCCAAAATAAACAGGGGTGGACAATATCTCTGACTAGGTCTTCTTTCTTACAGCACAGTAAGCAACACAACTACATCAGGACATTGTGCTACCAGCTTCACATATTCTTCCCCAACAAAAAGTGAGGCAGTCCCCTTCACTCCAAGTAAAAACAAGGCAACTTCAATTGCTTTCTCTAAGCAATTGCTTTTTGCTAAGATGTAGCTACTGCAGAAACACTTACCACTTTTTTTGAAAGACCGCACATTGATTAAAATCAATGAAGCCAGCAACATTCCCACTTTTTTTTGTCATTGTAACTAAAATGTTAATGGTAAATGGACATGCCCCTATTTCAGAAGTGCAGAGAGCAATTTCTGACATTGCTCCTGCCAGGCCACAATAATATCACATGTACCTCCAACTTTACAACTTCCCAGACACTGACAATCAAGTTACAATTGTCAAATATTCTGGTCAGATACAATGATATGTTCCCACTCATCTTTACTCCAATGGACTCAACTTCTATGTATTTTAAGACAGTCTCTCAACAGACTATTGCACAAAACAATGATTGATATGACTTATCTGAAAATCCATGGATGGATATAGCTTGTTTATATACAGGCACATTTAATGCACAATTCCTTGAAACAATGTAAACTGGCATAAGGAATACAATAAAAGTTTTAAAAAGAGGTTACACTTTTTCAAAATAAAATCACAAGATGACAACAAATTATCAAAAGGAGGTTGAAGGCTATGCAGGTTACTTTAAATAAATTCAACTGTTTATACTATCACTTGCTGTACAGAACTTCTGAAGTTCAAGTATCAATTATTTTTATTCTTCAGTCATATCAAAGGTCACATCATTAATGGCAGAGGTGATTTGCTAACATTAGTACTAGTAACTTGAAGAGCAGGCCGGTTCATAAAGGTGCCAGTTAAAATAAAGTTTGCTGCATTTCATCTGATGTAGAAATTGTACAATTACAAGAACGATTTAGCAATAAGATTGAAAGAAAGGATCAGGGTGACCTTCCTTTAACTTGGTAAGTTCTCAACTTGATCAAGCAAATGTCAAAAGGATGTTGTTTTATTCAATGTCATCCAAACTTTGGGATGGGAAAATAGCTAATAGAACATTAATAACATCCAAAATTTCTAGAGAAAAAGCAATTCAATGCTCTAGTACTTGTAGACTTGTTTTAAAAAACATATTAATACAATACTTTACTTCTAACTAGAGCAGAGATGACAACAAGAATGTAAAATGTGTACTTATTGTAACACTGGAGTCAAGACTGATTAAAAAACAATACTCTGGAAATAACTAAAATAGAACGTTGAAATCAGGTGAACTGGTAGAATAGAACTGAGTTTCCTTTGGGATGTGCAGGGGTTTGGTTGGGGGCCGGGGGGGTGCGGTGGAAGAAACGTGCCTAAGCAAACAAAACTTAAATGATAACATGACAGCAGAGGCCTAAAAAATCATTGCGATAGGGAAAGATTTCTCACAATGCCTTCACAGAATAACTGAGTCACTAACTAGATGCAGATGTGGCGTGTCTTCATTTCACACATTGAAAAGTGATGGTGTCTACACATCAATTTTGGTCAAGAGTATGTTGCATTGAATGACTGTTTTCCCCACAAGCAGTACACAACTATTGACTTTTTTTCTTCCCTTCCCCCATTAGCTGTGTAGATTAGAAATACATTTATTGAAGCTATAATGGAAGTCTGAGGGTACCGTGTCCTGGGGCCAGAAGAGAAGACAAGCTATCACATCATGTAATGGCAGCCCATCTGTGACAGACCTGACCTACATTTTTCTTCCTCTTGCTCACAACTGTCTGCCTGTACTTTAAGATGATGTTTTATTATAAGCAGAAAGGAAGTGCTTATCAGGTATGACTAGTTTTGGCTTTAGTGAATCCAGATTTAGTCTTCCTTATAGCCATTGAGTACTGATCATCCAGCAAATAACATGAATAATTAAGAAATAATTTTGTTATCTCATTTAGAATTCTCAATACAATAGTATTATTCAAAACTATTATTCAAAGATCATGTTGAATCCATTTCATTAAGAAAGATACATAAAAATGCAGCAAGGATCTAGGTGTTTGCAAATTAGGTTAAGCACTGAATTTATGGTTAGCAAAGAGAGAACACACATTAAAAAAAATGAATAAAGTAGGTTTAGTAAAAGTATGCAGAAAGAAGGTTGCTCTTGTCGTGGTTAGATATAAATAATTTACTGACTTTATCTACTCAAGAAGCTTTCTTTTAATTTAAGTGATACTGAATTGATGACTTAGAAAGTTGCTTTCAAAAAGCTCCTCAGCAGAACATACCACGTCGCTGCAGGTCATACTCTCTCTTTGTCTCTTCATTCCCTAGTATTTTCCACGCCTGATCAACTTCGATGAACCTCTGTACGCACTCCTCAAGTTCTTCCACTGGCGCATCTGCACGCTGTTTGTCCGGGTGATACTGCTTAACGGAAAGTGGATGGGGGTAAGGAGGAGGGGGTGAGGTAATAGGAAAGAAAAAAAAGTTGGGTGAAAAATATCAACACATAGCTCAGAATTTGTTTTTGGAAGGGCAGTGGAGAGTTAGGCGATCAGTATTACGAGTTAAGATTGTTGGGCCCCAGAGACTGCAGTCAGGTTAATTAAACCACAGGAGTCACAGACATCGATGTCACAACCTGCTCCGATAGCATTTTCTGGATAATTTGCTGTTGGCATTATGGACAATTTACCAAGAGATGTTGTGAACAGGAACAAGCAGCAGCGAGAAGGGAGCAGGAGATGTGCAAACAAGAAAAATAACACAACACACAAGTCAAATGTGCAGTTATACAAAATGTATGAAATTAAGAAAAACAACATATTTTAAAATTTGAGCAATTTTTAATGAATCCAATTGTCAACAACTAAGTTCATTTGTTCAGCAGTTATACCAATGCAGGAATGCATTTTCTTTATGTAATGAAGAAAATTAATTACAAATGCAGAGTGGTTATAAATAAATCCTACTTCTTTCAAATTGGACTGAAAATCCAACACAGGGTAATGCTTGAACTGTCAGTTTACAATTAATTTCATTGCAATAAATAAGGAGTTCAGCATATTTTGTCTTTGACCGTATTAATATTACATCTTATAGCTCCTGATGGGGTCTGACATTAGCAGGGTGAAACCATGTGAAAAATCCATCTTGCCACTGCAATGATAAAATCCTCTACGTACTGCATTACATTTGAGAGAACACCACTAATTAAAACAGAGTGTGGTCTCCTTATCTACATCCCACTAAATTAATTACCAGCTGTACTTTTATGCACTTTAAAATGTAGTATTGGACAATGTAAATGGTGCTTGACTTTATCTTCTCGGAGGAGCATTTCAGTCCTTTCAAACGTAATAATAAGAAAGCCTTAATATGAACAGGTTGCTATCTGGAAGCACCTCTCATTTGATGTTTAACTCATTGTTCTTTGTCCTCTTATTGTGAAAGTACCTATGTAGCATTTAATTAAAACAGGAGCACATCTGCTAGTAAATGTTTAAGCTTCTGTAATCGACTAAACACTTCTTTTGTGATCAAGGTAAAGATTCAATTTACTGAAAGGTATTGAGTACTGTACATGAGACTGAATACACAGGCTTCATGTAAGCAGAATTGATTGAGGAAAAGTGCAGACTGAGTTTCATAACACAAAACACAAGTGTCAGGATTTTTAAAGACAGTATTACCTTTGAACTCCGCAAACCCATTTGAGTTCTTACTATATGATTACATTCCCTTTTCTATGCAATTTTACTATCTAAGCTGTCAGAAATACTAACTGTCTTATCACAGCACCTACACATTACAATAATGAAATGCTTTAATCACATTTTAACCAATTTTAAGAAACCTTAGATGAGCAATGGGAGTTTCATCTGCCAGTCCTAATTAGCACTTGATTTATTTTTCATGTGTTATATTGAAAGGAAAATCATTAAATAGTTTTGGGTATCATTAACTCTATAGTGACAGAATTTGTTTTGAAAATCATGGAGCTTTCATGAACACAGCAGTACATGCTTACAGGGGCTTCTGGACAATAGTATATCTTTTTGTACTGAAAATCAGGTAGTATGTCCGATCTCACCAAGGCCGCCAAGGCGCTCGTTTACTTTGTAATGGTTATGTAGATCCTGCCTCTTTCAATTGCAAGCAATAACAACTTGTTTCAACACAGAGAGAAGGCCAGCTAATCCAAAGTAACAGTATAATTCTAAAACAATGCATGCTACCTACATTTGCAGAATGGACTTAGTTGCCCAATTGTCAACAAAAACATTTTCCAAGACTTAAGAGCTAACCAATTCCCAACAGTACAAGGAAGTTGAATAAGAACACTGTTTTCAAATTGTGCAACTAAAAACCTGTTTTTCAGTGCACTATTTGAAGGAAGCGGCTCCAGCTGATGGCAGCCAGATTGATAGGGGAAGGGGGCAGAGATACCCAGAAAAGGATATAAAGACAAAATATAGCTGATGCTGCAAATCTAAAATCTGAACTAAAAGTGCTGGAAAAACTCATTAGGCAAAGTAGTATCTTTGGAGAAAAACACATTTAATGTTTCAGGTCAAGTGAGTCAAATTCTGATGAAAGATCATTCATCCTAAAATTTTAACTCAGTTTCTCTGTAAAAAGATGGTGCCTGAACGACTGAGTTTTTCCAGCAGTTTTATTTTTATCTTTAAAAAAATGGGAGGCAAAGTACAATTCAGATTACAGAATAAATTTACTATTTTCTCAGTTTGCCAATAAGATTAAGTGTCGCATAGAAACAAAAATAAAAGGAAAAATTTTACTTCCTCAAAACATCATATTTTTATTAAAAAGGAGTATCACAAAGAACAAAAGACGGAAAAGTGAAGTCCAGGTACATGTCTTTTATCCCCGGATGATGAACAGGAATTTACACCTGCTTGTTTGCGGATAATGTGCTTCCTGATTTTGCATCTACTTGGCTCATCTGTTTTTAACATTATACCCTGTAGTTCTGAATTCCTTTCTATCACTTTATTTAAATTGTTTAAATCACCTGAAGCTCCTTAATCTTGTTGACCCAAGGAAATACAAATCAAGCTCATGCAATCATGTCATAATTTTACTCTCAAACTTACAATACAATAAAATTATATCCAAATGCAGCCATCAGGATCTCATTCACATCATAAAACTACACTTTCTCCCTGAACTGAGGTCACATTCATCCAGTCCCTGAACCCATAGGATGTACATCTGCTGCCCTCCAGGCACCCAACAACCTGGTCCTTTAATCTGGCTGCATTTTGGATGCCATAATGTGAATGGTGATCTTAACAGTCCAAACCATTTCATCACAACATCCCTCCACAAGTCACACAGATATGTCAAGTCTCCATAATAACCACTGCATTCACTAGTTCAGCATCAGTGTACCAGAAGTACTCCCTGCTGATTGTGAATCGCATGATGCGATTTACTGTCCTTGCAATTCATGAGCTCAGCAGTGCCCCAAATTACTGCAATTTATTTTTCATAAAACCATCAAGTCTTGTCGCATGTCCTCCGTATAGGATAGTCCTCTTAAGGATACAACATTCATGGCACTGAACTAAATTCTTATGATTATGCTGCATGATTTGTGTGACATCAATAATAGTGGTGTTATGAAGTAATTAGTTACATATAGTGCATTACATGTGACTACAACTAATGAATGAATTGGAGAACTTTGAGAAAATATTGTTTGATGAAGATAAAATCATAAGCCTAGAATGTTACAAAACAGAACTTTTTTTTGGTCCATTATATGCCTTGGTTTTTGATTTGTCATAAGCTATTTATATCTCATTTTATACATGTTTTAAGTCTTTTTCAGCAACTATTTAGTTAATTTTGAATTCTATTTCAGTCACGGTTAAAAACAAAGAATTCCACATTCTAATCACTCAGGATTTTATGCTCCGAATATCTCTTACTTCTCTGTGATTTTTGTTTTACAGTCTTACGAACCACTAAAAACAGTTCAATGCACCTTTCATAATCTTGAGACTTCTATGAATCCATGTCTTAACCACAGTTCAACTAAAAATGCCCACTTAATTGCAACCTTGCATTCTTGGTTTATATAAGGTGAACTTGTGTTGAAGCTTTTCGATTGCTCGTTATTTCTTCCTACTAACAGTCCATCCATTCTGAAACATCCTTTCCATAGCATCCTGCTGCTGCTTTAAATCTGGAAGGCTTCTGATTGGCCTTTCAGTTTTAAGACTAGTTCACTACTCTTGATTGGACAGTGAACCTGCCTTCTAATGCCATGGTGTGGGCTTTTGATTTGAAGCCTCACAGCAGAATTTAGAAACTCACAAGGGAAATCCTGTCCAATATATGTAACTTTTCAAATGAAATAATGGTTATCACATTTTATCTCCATCTACAGAGGTGGGATGTTTACATTTAGTTGCACTGTCAATTGCAAAGACCTACATACTAATTCTGATTTTCCAATTGTTGAAACAGCTGAAGAATAACATGCCTGAACACATAACGTATAAAACGGAGTAGATTTTTTCTAATTTTTTCATGATGTGGGAATCACTGGCTATCATCAATTACTGCTCAGCTCCAACTGCCCCAGAGGCCAGTTAAAAGTTAACAACTGTGAATGTGGAGTTACACACATGCCAAACAGCAAGATTCCTTCCCTATAGAACATCAGAGAATCAGCTGGGGTTGTTACAACAAACAACTGTGAATCACATAGTTACCCATTTTGCTCCAGATTTTTACAGAATTCAAACTTCACCATGTTCCAGGATGGGATTGAAAGCTACGTCCCCAAAAAATTAGACTGGGGTTCTAGATTACTAGCCCAGTGACACTGCCTCTACGCCACCACCTGCTCCAACATGTATGAATGCATAGGAACAAGAGTAGGTATTTAGTCCCCAAAAGCCTTTTCTGCCACTCAATAGACCTTGATTGTTTGGTGACCTAAGTCCATACACCTGCATTTGCCCCACAGTCCTTGTAAAAGTCTATCAATCTCAGATTTTAAACAAACAATTCAACGAGCATTAACTGCCATTTTCGGAAGAGAAATCCTAATGTCTGCCCTCCTTTGCATGTAGAAGGATGTCAAACCACTCCTGAAAAAGTCTGGTTCTAATTTTAAGGTTATGTTCCCTTGAACTGGACTCCTCAACAATCAGCAATAGGGTAAGTAAAGATCTCCGTTTTCCCTATGAAAGAAAAACAAATCACTTTTACATTGTACTGAAGCAGCTCATATGCATTCAACTCCAAATTGCTGAGTTTTTTAACCAGATTTGCATGCATCGTGGAACCCCTCATACAAGCTTTGGCACAAATCTCACATGTCTGAAAACAGCTTTACTTTATTACAAGTGATGAGCAAACTCATCATACTATACAACTGCAGAGAATTAAGTACACAGTGTAAACGTATAACTTGTTTTTTGTGAAACGTAAAGGTAAATTACTTGTATCAAAGCAATCCTCCACATCTTGCTCTGTGAACACCTTAGTTCATCTGGCCTCAATTAGAGACAAGGTCTTGTCAACACTTTGATACTTTCATTCATTAATTTATCATTCTGTCAAATTAATAACACTGCAGTGGTGTCTCAGTATTCCCCAGTGTTACCTGTTTTCTGCTGAAAGAAAAAAAAAACTATTGCAAGGTCCCAAGGTACAGCACCTGTCCAAGATTAGAAGCTTAAGGTTTGACTACCAAAAAAAGGTGATTATTTGAACTACTTTCTCTTACAACCAAATTAGCATATATAATTCCTTGATCTGTTTACAAATGAGAAATTGCATTTATACTGTATAGTCATACTGGATAACTGTGCAACCAAATAATTACTTTTTAGATGCAACCACTGACATACATGCAATGGTCAGGTAAGGTTGACTGGGCAGGCAATCAAATTTTGGCAGTGTGGTTGACCAAGGGATCAGATGTACCATGGTCTTCTTCCAACTGTCCCTCCCAAACCTATGACCTCCATCACCTAAAAAATGGAGGGCAGCAAGTCCATGGGAATATTGCCAGCTGCAAGCTCCCCTACAAGTCACAGACCTGACTTGGAAGCATATTGCCATTCTTCCATCATAGCTGGGCGTTACACTACTTGGAAATCCTTGACTCATAGCACTGTTGGTGTACCTTTACAATGCCAGCCATTATGGTTTGAGGCAGCAGCTCAAAGGGAATAAATGCCAGTCTTGCAATCAATACCCAAGTGCCATGAATTTTAAAAAAAAGACAGCTACACTTTTGCACTATTATCAGATATTATTACTTCATCATTTCTACATATATGGAGGAGAAGGTGGCATGGTAGCAATATCAGTGGACTGGTTATCCAGAGATCCAGGCTAGTACACTGGACGTATGGGTTCATCATGGCAGCTAGTGAAATTTGAATTCAATTAATAAAACTGGAATTCAAATCTAATCTGTGATGGTGACCATAGAACTATCATTGATTCTGGTTTTTAAAAAAAGCCACCTAGCTCATTAATGCACTTTCAGGAAGAAAATTCGCCATTCTGGCCTACATGTGACTCCAGACCCATGCTTAACCATGGTCTGAAAGGCCTAGCAAGCCACTTTGTAAAGTGAATTAGGGATTGGCATGAAAAAAAAATGTAAAAATCAGTTACTTAATTGCCTACCCATTAAATGGAGTTCATTTGTTAGAAAGTCAGTTGCATCAGCCAGAAGTTTAATACCGAGAAGCATGAAACACACACTCAAATCAAAATTTTAAACATTATTTTCAAATGCTGTTATGTTAATTAGAACATGTTGGACTCCAGTGACCCATTCACCAGACCCATTTCTTCCAATGCATCCAAAAACTGTGACACACCAAAGATGTCAATGTATTTTTTTGTTTAGGTGTCATCATCATGTGGGTGACTCTCAACTGTCTGTTGAAAATACCTAGTAAACCACTGAGTTATAACAGCAACAAGTGAAACCTTATCAATATGGATTTCTGCAGCTCATGATGCAGAACACGACATTCTAAGGGTAATTAAGAATGGGAAATAGATGATGACTTTGCAAGCACTATACACAACCTAAGAATTAATATTTTTATAGTGCATGGTTAATGAGAACATCTTGCTAAGGAATTATTCTACCTAAAAAATCCCCAGCTCATAATAAATATTAAAAATGCAGAGCCTTCATAATAGTTGAAATGTACACAAACTATCCATAGCATGCCAAAGCAGAAAGCTCATATTGATTAGTCAATGGGTTAACTACAGAAAAATACAAGCATGGTGTCAAAAGCACAGACTCCTCACATTTAAATTGATTATTCATATTACTGTGTTGGGAATTTCAATCATAATTTTCCAGTTGTATATGTGTGCCTATCACAAGCTTCGGTTTGCTAATTTCGCAGGTTTGAACAGAAGTGGAAACATACAGACTGTTAAAATTAACAGTAAAAATATACATGAAAATAGTGTAAAATCTGGTCCTCTATTTCTCTCAATTGAAACAGCTACATGTCATAGATAGGCAAGAACTTGACATCATCTGGAGTCTCTTCAGTCTGTACAAAATGTAGTTTCATAATGGCCCCAAGGATTTATGGTAAATGCAAATTTTAGCACGGACGCAGTTTGTCAGAACCAATTTAAAAAAGAAGTTCTCGTCCTCCTTATTTCTCTTGAATGCTGGCATTAAAGCATAGCTTATAAAATACATTCAAACAGTTTTCTCAACCATATAAACATATAAAAAAGTTTTCATAATATGATTGAGTCCATACAATTTGCCATAGAATGCCATGACATAATTTCTATATGTCATCAGACCCAACTATCTATCATGTGTAATCTCCTTGTAAATAAACAGGGTGTAAAAACGCAGGTCAACTTAAAGAACAAAAACTAAATATTGTAGATGTTGAAAGTCTGAAATGAAAAGAACACAAATAATGGAAATGTTCAGCAGGTCTGGCAGAACCTGTGAAGTAAAAAAAAAGGTAACACTTCTATTATAATTCACTTTCACAGCCACATCTCTTTCCTCAGAAACTGACTCTGCTCAAGACTTATACCACATGGATTCCACTGAAATTTCACCCCTAGTGTCTTAGATCCAATACAATGACAGAACATCTCATGGACGTTCAGCAGTCCTGGAAACAGGCTTAATGTGATGGGTTGCCACACACACACTTGACTGTTTCCTTTCACAGTAACAACATACTTCAGAGACAGGTAACTCATGTCAGAATTTCCTTTACAACCGATATTCATTCTAGGGAGGTGGGGATGTAATAGTTTGACTTACTATACAAATTAAGATTGAAGGCAGTCACGGGAGGCAGTCAGCTATCGAGATAGTTGGTTAGAAAGCCTCTCTTAGTTGTTTCTGTTGTTTTAAAGGATTATTTTATTCATTCATAGGATGTGGGTATTGCCCAGTAGGCCAGAGGGCAGTAAGAGTCAACCACATTGTGTGGGTCTGAAGTCAGATGCAAGGCAAGCCAGGTAAAAATGGCAGTTTCCTTCCCTAAAGGACACAAGTGAATCAGATGGGTTTTTCCTAAAATTGGCAACCTCAAACCCACTCCAGCCATCTCTTTAGCTCTGGACCTGGCAGACAATCATCACCATGCTTTGTAGGCAGGGATCTGGATGTCCTGTTAGATGGGGTGGTGCAGATGTGGGACAGCTTTTTCCCCCAAGGACCAATTGTAATCAAAGACATTAGACCATGCCAGGGACAAAAACAAAGTTGCTGGAAAAGCTCAGCAGATCTGGCAGCATCTGTGAAGGAAAAAACAGAGTTAACGTTTCGGGTCCAGTGACCCTTCCTCAGAACGGGTCTTACAGCATCCGCAGTTCTTTCGGTTTTTATTTAGACCATGCCAGCCTGTGCAAGGTCACCATTCAGGTCAGTAAAGTCTCAGTCATCTCAAAGACTGCCTAACAGTGTAAGAAGGTCAATGACCTTCTCCGTTCTGCCTGTGTAAGCACCACCATCTTCTCTCCAATACCTCATACTGACTCTCTGCTCCTGTACCCACCTTCCACAAAAGCTCATATTCTACCACTCCCACTATTACCTGCCCAGCACCACAAAATCTTGCAACCTCTCATTTGAGTTAACTTCCCAACAGCACCAAAAGTAATAGCTATGCCATCCATTTTCATCTCCTTTTATAGCTGCCTCTGTCTCATTCCAGGAAGTAAACGACCCACAATAGAGCAGAAAGAGTCATGATAGGTGTTGGGCTGCCCAACATTTAGCTCCTCCCTCCTTATGAGGAAAGGGCCCTGGCTCTGACCATTCTCAGCAGTTGACGGAGTCCAAGCTCCCGGAATGGTAACGGCAGCTGCCCTTGATTTACTAAGTGCAGGCTATTTCCGATGACATGTCTGAGGACAAGCTTCCTCGATTTGTATCTGTGCTAAACAGCAAGAGGAGGTAGGGATGCTGTGAGAACCTAGGTAGGCTCTGAGTGAGTCAGCACTGTAACAGGAAGCAAACAAGTCAGAGATGCAGCCTAGTCCAGTCTGTGGCCTGGGTGCATGTCCCTGAGCACAGTGTCCCTGCAGCAGTTTCAAAACAAGAGTTGCCAGCAAAGCCCAAATGCAGCACTGAGGTTCAGAAGCATAGTATATGTGGATTGGAGATGTATCATGAAGGTTATTAGATGCTGGCGTGTCAGATGCCAATGTTCAAGGACTTGGGGTAAATGTGGCCATTTAAGCATGCCCTGAGCCACTGGTGCCTGATGGCCAATCTGGAAGCTGTGTGCAGTCAGTGCTGAGCTGAAGTTGCCAGGTACCTGTTAGAATGTCTTGTAGTTTGCTTGGCACATTTGGCAAGATGGAAAGCTGAATATTAATGAGGCATGTTGCGATGTTAGTAAGGCATTTATCAATCAATAATCCCCCTTAATTGGCAACTTGCCATTGGCTAGTGAGAAACACACAACACAATATGACAATAACAGAAAAGATGCAGCGAGGTGCTCCTGACATCAAGATAGGCTTCACCAGACTTCTCTTCCGATTCTGCCACAAATCTTCACCTACCCCATGGCACGGGCCCATACACCGTAACAGTCTTATTATCTGAAAAAGAGTTCAGGCTCACACACACTTGATACTTAAGGAAAACATATTCAAGATAGATTCAAAGATTTTAAATCCTCTGTAATAAAAACAGATAAGGTAACCACAAAAACATATATTCCTCTAAAAGCCCCTTTAAGTTCTCAATAAAAATGTAGGCTCAGCAGCCATCACACCCACGCCCCCACTTGCCCTGAGAT